GAATCATTGCATTTCGAAAATTCTCTAATGGCACCGTATTTATTGATTTACCAAATAAAATATGGTTGACGAAATTTGCAATCATATTTCGCATACGAAATATCCTTTTATTATTCTCTTGATTGTAGCCCAACATAGATGTTTTACGTTGATACAGCGTATGAAGTTAAACAAGTTGTATATTTGCAGTTCGACGTTGTGATATTTTAACTGAACATAAATCTTATCATTAGTTCACTTAAAATGAGGGCAAGCGATCTCATTTTTATATGATTGGCTGAAGATCATCCTGTCAGTCTACTCATATGATGTGATCCATTTGATTTCATGCATGTACTAGTACAGTGACTCACTTTGAAATCCATATTGATTTTCTGTATATTTACATGAAGAAAATCTACATACATATAATGATATTAATAAAATGTTCTTCATGAAAGTGAGATTCAATGGATGAGAAGTACTTATCTGCCTACTGGTTGCGTTGACTATCATTCTTTTCATTCTTTTCACATTGAATATCGTTTACTTTCAAGCTACGAACAAATGGATAATTTTTCAGCAAACAGATCTCTTTACAACAAACTTGTTATCAAGGTGTATTTTCGTACATATATGTAAGTGAACAGTTTTGTACTTAAAGCAATCGTTGCATGAGGACATATGAACAAGCAATGATCTTGATGTTTCAAGTGAAAGATCACAATTCTAGATCACGTAAAGTGAAGAATAACAATGGATTTCATAATCTTGTAACAGATCACAACGTGAATGTATTGAGATAATTAAAGTGTTGTTATCAGTTTGAGATTATTAGATATATTTACATAAGTAATTCAACTGCAATATACAAAGAGGCTATCAATGAACTCATATATGACGGGAAGTTGATTATCACGAAACCTGATCAAAGTACACGAATTGTTCCTCTTAGCAAGAATGAATAGATTTACAAAACTAATTACATCTTGAATGATCACAAGGACGTCCAGAAACTGAATGAAGAAAACGATGACAATTGCAAGAGCGAGAATGAGTTGGCCGGATGACTATAAAAGCTCACAGATCAACAGATTTTTCCATCAATCATATACAAAACAGTGAGGGCGGTAGGTTTCCATTTATCTGCGTTATAAGGCCTACCGTAGGTACACAAACTGGATGTACGATTAAGATCATCTACGGGAATGCAACATCGAATTAAGATCATCTAAGGAAACGTAGGATTCCTCATATCATTCTGTAGCAAAGTGGTTAGTAAACATTTTGAAACCACTCAACAAACACGTCGAGAAACATAGTATTAAGGGGGCATTCCAGTTCGTCGATAAAATCTAGATTACAAACACTAGAGCTCAAACTATAATATCCCTAAACGTAACGTTCAAACTGTTAAACTTTCAACACTTGACCTGGTATCCGTATAACACAAAACTACCATCTTTAAATCGCTGTCTTCCGATACCAAGTTCTTGTCAGCAATTTTGCTTATTTGATAATTCACCAATGTATAGAGTGTACCAGCCCCTGTATATAAACACAACGATTGCCTGTGTGATATTAAGTACATTTCTTTGTAACTTCACAAATTGTCATTCGATATTACTTAGTCGTTTGTTTGCATAAAAGAGTCATGCAAATTATGGTAGTAAATAAAGGCTAAAAATCAATGTGTAATGGATAGAAATCCAGATAGGCATCCAAACGTGTTTATGTCTATCTTTGATTGGAACAACAATATAGAACAAACGTTATCAATCCTGAGAATGATAAACGTTTCACATCTCACGTGATTGCAATACATTTGTCATGGTTTCCTAATACAACTACAATTATTACATACCGAAGCTAGTTACTAGTGAGGATATGGTTATCGCGAATACAGTGTTCGGATGTGGAGCCGTGCGTTTATACTGATGAGGAGTTCTGTTCCTCGATAAAACGGCTTTGGAGTGCTTCTCATCATTTAAAGTCGGTCTCGATAAAATCTCATCCTGAACTCAATTATGTAAACGTCATTAGTTGAAGTGATTTCTATTGGTGTTCGTTTGTTGGTGTAACTAGAGGTGAATAAGTTCACCAAATCAATAGCTTTGTAATCTTGGACATTTGATGGTGACCACATTAGTTTTAAGGATCCACTTAACTGAGGACACTCAGTAACGCTTCTACAACTGATAGTCAACCCAGATCAGTCACTTATCGATATGCCAATAGTCTATCGAATATATATCGTTGAAACTTTGCACTTCTGACTTCTGATTTCACTGATTTGGCACGTTTTGTTCATCAAAGTTGTTACGGGTAAGGTGCTGTCAAACGACAAATACTTCTGACACCTTTAAATTCTAAAGTAAACGTAAACATTGCTACTTGGTTGTATCCTAATCTCACATAAATTGACAAACTCAGTCAACTGAGTTAATTCACTTTTCACCTACCGCTGATTTTCTCGAATTTCAGATGACAAAAATAGAAAATTACGGAAAAGGAAGAACAACAATACAAATGATGATTAATTTTCAATGACTTTTCGACAGAATCGCTCATTCAAACACAACAACGTTATACAACTAACATTTACTGGCTCGATAAATACAGCTTCCATTCTAGTTAACTAACAATTGTCTGGCAGTTTGAGTTTGTGTACAACGATTGATGGTATCTCCAATGAATCTGGATCAAACTGTCATTCCTCCAGGTAGTTATGAATATATTCGTGTATACCGAAACGAGATATTTCAGTTAAATCTGCAACAGTTGAATAAGAGTTCCGTTTTTCATGAAAGTTTGGTAAATCAGGTTTCAGTTCTCCTTGAAAGTTTACTTTCAATGTAACGTTACTTCTTTTTGTTCTCCTCATGTCTATGAAGATATTTTAAAGATAGACACCACATACTTATTCTTGATATTATCTGCATTTCTATTGCTATTTCTCATAGTTTGTACATTGACCACAAACGACTGTAAAATTTGTATGAAACCGCATGACCTTGAACTCACTCGCTAACCTTTTCAACCGTTCATAGCATGATACACACTGTTAACTGCTCGTAAATACATTACTGCACACACATCTTGCGTTTTTCATTACCTTTGGTAATCACAATTGAACTCTAAACTATCTATTGTCTACATTAATGGACTGTATCCATATTTCCATTATATTGTAAATCTGGTTATATTTACTGAAATAATAAAAACGTCATTGGAATTGTTAATTATCCATAATTGTAGATTATGGTACCACGTGCAATTTGTACATGCTAAAGTCTGCTAATAAAGTAAAATCTTATAATTTTGGTTCATGTTCATGAATCGTAGCCGGTATATGATAACATTAACGTTTGAACGTATTGACGTTATTGTCATTTGTGATTGTTATGACTTTAAATTGATGTCGATTTCTACTCTGTGTTATAGATCGATTACAATGACACGCAAACACGTACGGACGGCCTAGAGTCTCGATTGGTCCCACTTCCCTGTCTAGCCCAGTCAGTTGAGTCCAGAACACAAGTCACAGCCTCGGGGATATGAATCACTATATTTCAAACATACTTTGTTTATATACCAGTCAAGCATACCACAGCGTACCATAAAAATAGAAAACAACATTTTGTACAAGTGAACAGATATCGACCAATAGGAAATGTCCATTTAAAGTCCAAGGACACCATTGGACTTAACATGATAATTATTGGTCTATTCCTGCGCATACACAACAGTGAGGTAAAATAATCTTCGATAAACCACAGTATCTAGGGAAACACATTGAGTTATTCTACAAATTTGAATATCATGTTACATACAAGAAAATTCTATATGATGGACAAAAGAATATTTTCGAACAGTTACCGTAGAAGTTCATTTCGAAAATACGATTTTGAATCTGTCTTTGATGATCAATGAAGATACCTTCCTGTACCGACGGGTCGTGTTATACACTAGTAAAACCTGATCCATCTCGACTTGGATTGAGTAGATGAAAGAATATTGCTGATTGGTAATTTTGAACATGGTGTTGGTTAAATTACATTTACAGATAAATATATACATATGAAGTATGTCGAACGACAATGTCTTGAGCTAGTCCTCCAATTAGAACTGCATCTGATACATCAATCCAATCTTCAAATGAAGTGATTTCAGGATCAGTGAAGTTGAATGGAGTGGGGTAAACTCAATCACCTCACTGTATGAAAGTTGTCGGTGTTGACACTTCATTAAAATCGGATGTCATTGTGTTATTGCCTATAGTCAACAACTCGATTTCATCATTTTTCGACGAGTGTTACTTCATAGCGTTGAGGGACTTTGAACAATGTCACAAAAGATTAATAAGACTTCATTTTACTGCCGATATATGGACAACACGGTTATGCTGTATAATGACTAAACTGGCTTCATAGAAACACTTCAGCACTTCAATAAAGTTCAATCGTCCATATAATGCACATATGAGAAAGTAAATAAAGGTACAATAAACTTCCTAGACACTCTACATACGAGGAGAAATGATGAGTCATTATGAAGAAACGAAAATAAGAGAACCACCCGGACGGATGATTCAGGTTCTCAAAGGTTTGTTGATCATTCAGCCGGTTATTCATTCTGTCAATGTAATCATTTATGTTAAATAGGATAGTTTCAGCTCTATATTTACCTACCGTGATAATCGAATTCTCGTCTGTAATGTGTTCACTGATAACCCCTTTGTGTTTCTTATATTAAAAACTTCTGTCATCATATTTAATATTCTTAAAATGATCATAAAATTTCAATCACCTTATTACATTCATGTAGTGATCCGTTACTATGTTTTCAAGTTCACTGTTATTATACACATTACGTAATCTGGTATTATAATCGATGTATATAAAACGAATGATAATCACTTTTCAGGTAAAAAGGATATCAACCATCTTAATTCTATCAACGTTTGCCTTTACCGATTTCATTATGAACTACAAGAAACCCATTAAAACATTCAAAACTTGTAGGCAGATGTATGATATTTATTGATAAAACTACTTAATACAAACGAAAATAATCATGGTATGAATAAGCACTACATATCAAGTTGTCCATTACTCCTATAAGCTCGGTTTGTTTAAGCTGGCATCTCTCATTACTTATATGCTGAAATAGTGAATATTTCGATGGAACCTGGACCAAATTGGTTTTCCGGCGCATTGCTTCCTCCATATACTTTTATTCCAATACGTGATGTATGAGATAAATTTAGATCATTTGAATCAGATTTCGGTGTTCCACGAAAGTATGCTGTAAAGTTTTTAAATGGTATTTTTACTTTCCCTCGTATTTCAGGTGTCTACAAATATTTCATAGAAAACAAGTTGAATTATTCTACACAATTGAATATCTCATTACCTCAAATTGCGACTCATGTGATACACATTCTCGCACCACTGAACATTCGCCATAGAGTATAAATTGAAATTTAGAATTTACACCCTGTCTATGTAGATCAATTACAACACCTGTATATTGTGAAATATCCGGAGTATCCAATTCCCTGTAGACACCAGCGAAACTCGATCCATTTTCTCGTGGATTGAGTAGATAGAACAATAATGCCGATTGGTAATTCTAAACATAATGTTAGTTACATTATATTTATAAGCAACATTTACCGTTCCATTTAGTGGTACGATTGTAGCTTTGGACCGCCCTCCGATTAGAATTGCATCTGACACCTCAGTCCAATTTTCAAATGCAGTGGTTTGGGGATCAGTGAAGTTGAATAGAATCGATGTTGGTTCTAATAAATCTTCTTCCTTAGCATTGTAAGTGTTGAGCATTACAGTTGTAAATATTAAGACGACAACAGAGGTGTATTTCTTTATCATTCTGAGGTGAAACGGTTTAGAATGTAGTTGAACTATTTATCTGTAAGATAAAATAGAATTAAAATTGGAGTTTATTTGAAAATGTGCTGTCAACATAGGTTGAGATTGTCGCGCAATATCGCTGATGGTTTGATGTTAGACATTGAGACCGTTGAAAATTAGATCAGTGGTCTAGAAGTGTAAAGTTTGAGCGTATTAGTCGTTTGTGGATTTGAGTCGTACCTCTCACAAGGATATTATGTGTTTGGACAGATCAACTATTAGAATACCAATAAATCGTCTAGTAAATGATACTGAGAGCCGATGGATTGGAATGTGGTTTGTTATTCGACTGGATTCCATTTAAAATTCTAAACAGTTAGAGCCTGTTTAATTACTCCATCTGTATATGTTTGCTCAGAATATCACTGTGATTTCCAGAATAATTGCATCCAATGTTACTTCTACACTGTTCTTTAAACTTTTGTTGTATCGTATTAGATTACTGCTTTCTCACAGTACTACCCTCACCATATTGCGTTCCATGATGTTTGATAGTCCATATTGCTTTTTACATGTATAAATTGCAGTCTATAACTCGTCCGGTGATAAACCTGTCCGCTGACATGAATACATTACACACATTCCACCTTCCTCCAATCTTATTAAGAACTATGGGATCATCTCGTAAAATTTATTTACAACGGTAACCAAACTATACAATCGGCTCACGTTTATGTTGACTTGATGCACATCAACTGAAGTGCATTTAAACAAATTTGATAAACACTGGAATCCAATTTTATACTAAAATATTATTGTCATCATTTGATGTGTGCTCAAAAGAACCACCGACCTTACAACAAGCATTTTAGCCAATGCCGTTTGCAACACTAAATTTTGCTTAGATTGCATGGTACAGATTGCACTAATGAGCTGGTAGAAACCAAACTCAATGCCAAATATTATCACATGAATCATCAGTATTTTGAAAGGTCTGTAGAATGATGGTCTGGTTCTGTATATGTACCACGATACTATTAGACCTAATATCAGATTGAGTTCGTGGTTTAGAGGTTAATTTCAAAAAGATAATGAAACACTAATTGAACCATTTACATTTGAATAACTTACCTTTACGTTAGATTATCTTCTTTCTTCAACCGGTCGCATACTCACTTGCTTTTATACTTTTATTACACAACGAGTTTGTGAGTTTCAACCAATCATGGTATCATAAATACGATCAATTGCAGTAGACGTGTAAGTCATTAACGCATGACAAAAAAAAGAATTTATATCAAGAGTAATTAATTAAAAATAACATGGTGTTACTAGTTACATACACACGCAGATGTGGATGAACGCTCATCTATCAGATAAGGGTTAATAATAAATTGTGATGTAATTAACGTATTATAAATACAGCAGTCGTTGTTTTCTGAAACTGACATTTGACGATCAGATTTTGTGGAACGTGCCTAATCTCTATACGTCTAATTCGATGTCCGACAGTTTTGTGTAGTTAAATATAGTCAGTTTACGGAATTCAGACAATGAATAATGAAATCTGTGAATGAGAATAAGCTCTACGATATAGTTTGTACAGACAAAGGTGACTATTTCGTTGTAATACTTGTGGGATTTATCATGAGCTTCTCTATGAAGTATTAAGATTATCGCTTACAAAATTTGTTCAAAGACGTCACAATGTTGAACAAATGATGTCTTATCTTGATGATTCAGAGAATTAGTCACTTTGAGCGACATCCACAGTTTAACTGAAGGAAGTCACCGAACATAGAAAAAACTGTGAGAAAATAACTCGAGACAGAAGCCAGTTTTCAAAGTGATTGTCATCCATTATGAGAAAAACAGTAAGAAATATAAAGGCAAATGAGATAGATTTGTTGCTCCAGTGACAGTCTGTGATTGCTGTACAGACTGATAAGTGATGTTTACATGAAGGCGTCCATGACTCTTATACACAGCACAGTATTATCGCTTACCTGAGTGAGTGGTGATGAATCAATGATCACTAGAGTATGTATTGGATAGATGTGAGAATTACTGATTCCTGCGTTACATCACAGTCACTGGCTCTATTTGTGATGATCATAGTGATTTTCCATTGATTCACGTTTTTGAATTATGTAAGGAGAAAGCAACAGAAAGGTGTCCTCATCAAGGTTGGACTTGATAGTTTCAAATAAATTAAGCATTTTGTAGAGAGGTGATAATAGTTATGCAATTTGTCATATCTCAATGAGTTAGAGAATAGTATTTCTGACGTTTCGTAACCTAATGTTAGTTAGTTCTTCAGAGTAAACAAGTAACCGACATTAAATTAACACAAGTTTAAATGGTAATTAACCCTCCAACGAAAATGTGAATTATGATGGTGTACTCATTATTACTTAATGTGAACCGTTGTATTCTTTCACTTACGCATATGTAATGAAATTACCTCTCGGCCCAAATAACAAACGTATTTGTAACCACTCCACTGACTATTCCATGGTCCGTTTGTGGACATGGAAACGTTGAAATTGAAGTAGTTGTTCGATTATGCGACGAGATCAATTGTGCAATGCGTAATTTTATTATAACTGATGAATCATGCACTTTACTGACAGCATCATTCTATCGTCAATGTATTCCTTTCATATCAGTTCACAGTCATCTGTCATGACACCATAATCCATCTGTAACTGTAAAATTATGTGTTTTACAAATCTAGATCTATTTAGTTTTTTCATTATAACCGAGAAGAATAGTTATTTCATCTAGACAATTCACACTGGATTTCAGTGTAGATGAATTGTAGAGAGATTAGACCAGTAAAGCATCGGAATATATAACAGTCATAGTTCATTTCTCACAATACGAATATGCTATAAATGACGAAGCTAGGAATGTATTTTGTTCTTGAAACTCCTCAATATGGTAGTCATCCTTTTTTATCAAGTTCACTCGAAAGGCAGTGAACATGCCCATTGAATTAATAATAGTGATAATTGTAGTAACATATCTGACAAACCACTGGGGAACATCAATGTAGTGAAGAACAGTGAGGTAAACTGTATTTATGGAAAAAGTAATTGTATGGTACATCTAAATGCTGAAGAGGTGGTAAGATTAGTGACATTCAATCTCTGTATCACATCACCATCCATTTGATCATATGTATTCCTCAAATTCATAATTCAGATAGTGGAAGACAGATGAAAATAGTGTAAGCTAGACGATGGTGATGTGAATATACTCTATCAGAGTGTTGATTCTCTACATTTTAAGGAGATGACCATGTCTGTTCCAGTCATCATTGTTCTTTCCTAAACTAACCACTTCATTCTAGATTGCATGACATACATCAGATGAATCTTTGGGTAATATTGTAATATTGAATTCATTCATTTCAGATTATTCCAATTGTCACTTCAACATGATGTATATTTACTCCTCCATAAGATATGTGAGAATTTAAGTTTACAAAAAGTGAACAATGTCATGATGCATTTAGACTAGTTCAGTTGAATGGACACCACATAGCATTCTCATTCTTTTCATTGAATACTCAAACAAATAAAATATTGTGCAATTTAATTCAAATGACTTCAATCTCAGTTACGTAGAATGAGTATGATACGTGAGCACATAACGACCAATGATGTGACAACATATCTCATATCACTCATTGAGTAACTAATATGTGTAGACATACTGTGATTGAGGATATCGATGTTCACTTCAAACAACAACATCAACAACAATCGTCGAAGAGCTTATAGATACAACCACATGAAACTGATAAATTCAATGTATAAACAAGTGTGTCTTCAAAAAACTTACACTAGCGTGTATTCGTTACACTGTCAATGCTTATTGTTTTAAAGAGCGTACTACAGACTACTTTATTGCATTGTACACATCAGATGTGTTTCATAAGTTCTGATCATTATATATATAAATAAGTAAAAACAAATTCACACTTTTCATAGTTTCACTAGTAAATGTTGAAATGATATCCGTCACTGGATATTTGTTCAATATGAGGAGATAATTTGTTCATGGCATTACTCTTGTCCACATTGTGAACTGTAGTTTACGTAATTATCCTCAACGTTGATTAACAATGATGAGACACGAATCATTGCATTTCTAAAACTTTGTAACGAGACTGCACTGATTGATTTACTTGGTATAAAAATCATATCTTCCATACAAAATGTCCCTTTGATATTTTGACTGAACCCATATCTGATCATTAGTTCAAGCTGACCATCAATCACGTCAAATCAGTGCAAGCGATCTCATCCTCAGATGATTAGCTAACGGTCATTCAATTTGCTTACTCATATGATGTGATCTAGTTAATGTCTTACCGTAATATATCATACATTAATGCATGAGAAATTCAGATTAAGACTAATATTAACTTGTGACCTAATTAAAAAATTATATTGAGGACAGCAATCGTTACTTTCTTATTCTTTACATTACAGACTGATCTCAGTTAAACATCCATTCAAAACTATAAGGTGTTGGACTACAATTTAGTCTAATAGTAGAACTCCTCAAAGGTGTGCATCAAAAGTCTCATCGATGATTAGAGTTTTGAATGGCAGATTTTGTTGATAGCATCTAACCTCTACACTTCCGATCCGATATCCAACAACTTGCATAGTTAACTCCAGTCACTTCCGAACATTGGGACAAGCAATAATTATATTTATAAAAACGAATGAACTGTACGGTTTCGCTTGTATAGATTGGTGAGACTATCTAGTTGAAAAAATGATATTAGTTTTAATCTGAAAACAGGTTATTCAACTACTTGTATGCATGTGTGCGTGTCACTAGTAACCTAATGTTAGTTTCACTAAATTGCTCTTCAAATTATTTTGTAAATTTGTCATGAATTAATGTCTCACACGTTCACGGTATGTAATCAGCTGATATTTTGATTACACTCTCGATAGCCATTATGAGTCTGATCATATTCACAATGACCTGATTGA